GTTCGTGTGTGTGTGTGTGTGTCTGCATCTGTCTCTGCCTCCGTCTCTGTCTGTCTGCGTCTGTCTGGCTGTCTGAGGTACTCGCTGTTGTATGTTGCACTATATCCAAAAGTGTCAAAATAGCAGAGAAGAAGCCCGCAACTGAGCGGATCCACGAACTGCCACAGTCTTATCAATAGCAGAAAGCTGGCGAGGCCCTCGTGAACAGGAGAGTGGGCAGAACGACATCAACATTCCCACACGCAAGTGTTTTTCTGCGCTTATATCTTCCTCGAAGTCGCTGCGCCAAGCTCCAGCCTGACCGGCATGAATCAAACGGTTCAGGGGTGATGCTTTTCCCCGAATCCACCGGTTCCACGACGTGAATCTTGACGTGCTGCCAGCGTCACCATCGGACATGGAAGGGCTGGATGACTTTCGGGCCGAAGGCTGCCAGCGACCGCGATTTTCCGGTAGCTCAGGTACCTGCGGCCTTCGATGGCGCATGTGCTAAATATGCCTCTACCTCAGATCAGGTTGCCACTGAATGTCCGGAACATCTGAAGGGCACACCCGGTCAAGGTCACCTGCAAGCCTGTCCGTGAGGCAGAGACCCATCTCTGGATCGTCACGCACAAGATGTGGAAGCGACTCCGGTGGCTCACGTGCCGTGAAGACACACATCAGGCGCGATGATCGGTGCAGCTCTGGCTCATCGCAGGCATTGGGCTTGCAGCTTCTTGTGTTGAAACCAGCAGAAAGGCAGTCCCCCAGCATGGGATGTCTGCCGGAAAATATCATAGCTCTCAGGCTTGGGGTGTGGTTGTAAGGTCGGCGATTAAAGCTATAATGCAGGCCCATGGCACGCTTGCGGGCGATCTGCTTTGCACCATAGAAAAGATGCATGTGCCAGCCGGCATTCTTGAAGAGCACTTCAGGCAGACGCTTGTATCGCTCGTATGATGGCGGAACCGTGATCCCACTGCGCGCTATCCGCGCCAACCGAGCAGCGTGCGGGTCGATGCCAAGATCTGTGAGCTGATGGATGCTAATGCCGGTCACGAACGACCAATCTGACTCTTGAAAATAGGAGCTGAAGCTCCGCGTCAACTGCCAGTTGTAATGCTGCAAGTCATAGACATAATTCCGGAGTTGGAATCTCACAGGCAAGCCTGCGAATTTGTTGCAAGTGAGGGGCCCAAAGTGGGATTTTGGCATGTTGGGAGCAGGGAAGCCGGATTCGGGCTTTGAAGATGAGAGGAGGGAGAGACAGAGAGAGAGAGAGAGAGAGAGAGAGAGAGAGCGAGAGCGAGAGCGAGAGCGAGAGCGAGAGCGAGAGAGAGACAGAGAGAGAGCGAAAGAGACAGAGACAAAGATTATGAAGACGGGGACACAGTCAGGTAAACGCACAGACCCACCTAAACTTATCAAGCAAGTGCACAGCCCAGTGGCTCACGGTGCAGTGCCTCACTTGCCATAGGGCTTCTCGCCGTATAACCTCATCGGCATCCAGTACGATCAGCACATCGTCCCCTGCAAGAACCCTTGAATCGAGGAACTGCTCTCGGAAGAGCTCATCAAACTGCAATGTCTTCCCAGCCATATTGTACATGTACTCAGCCGAACGCCAGCCGGCGTTGCCCAGTAGTTGGTCATTTTTTTGGTCGCTTGCATCTCGGCGGGCTGTTTCAGCTTCAGCTGCGCTGCCGGAAAGCAGAACTGGGTAAATCTTATGCATGTACGGCGCTAATCTTCGGCGCATGCGTTCCAAGGTGGAGTTTCGAGGTAGTCCGCTGAAGGCGATCAAGCTCTCGATCCAAAAGATCGCATCCACCACCGGTGCCACCTCATGTACGTGTGCCAGGAGGGGTCCTGTTTCATCATTCACTGTGAAGCCCAGGAAGATTCTCCGCGGCTGCGGTCTCAAGGGCATGCCAGGTGGGCAACTTTTTGTCAGCGGTCTAGTTGAATTTGGGGGGCTCGCTGGAAGTTTCAGCTTCCCTTTGCTGATGCGAATGTCACTGATTGTCCGTGCCGTGGATGTCCCTGCACGCTTGCAATAGCAGCGAGATCGTGCAGGGGACTTCAAGAGCTGGACGTGCCGGTGCGTAAGGATATGCTGCTCCGTTGGCCATCCAACGCTTGCTTGACATGGACAACTCGGTGGAGTGAAGAGCCATGCCTTGACAGAGCGCACGTCTGCAGTGGAAGCGCTGCTGCAAAGCAAGTCAAGCCCAGCAACTGAGAAACACCAGGTCGAGTGGCGTGAAAGAAGGGTGATCGACCCCTTCCGCTTCACGAAATACGTGTCATTCCGACGAAGGTATGCCCCTGACAGCGGTGGAAGAATGTGTGCGTCCCTCCGCCTGTCGAACAGAAGGGCATCTACTATCAAGTGGAAGGCGGTCGAAGTGTCGATGACCAAGACCAGGCAGATCCATGTAAGTAGCGATGCTCGACTCATGGCATCTTGATGCTCACGCGTCGTGCACTGATCTACAACGATTTGCTGGGCCCTCACATCACCACAATCACCTATGCAATGAAGGAGTCAGTATGAGTCAGTCTTGCAGAGAACCTTGTGCTGAAAGCAGGCAGGAGGCTCGCAGGACCCCTTCCAAAGCCCAAAACGACCTAAAGAAACTTTCCAAACGCTTCTCACTTTCAGCGACCCGTCGTGAGGGCTCCTGCCTTGATGTGGCCCGCATGCTGCCAAGACACAAACCTGACGAGCGCAGGCGCAGGGACTCTGGGACCTCGCATTTATCCCTTGCTTCTAGGATGCCTTAAACAAGCCTTTAGCTCCCAAACTCGAGCGGCCCTTCTGACAAGCTAGCTTATTGCTGCAAGTCCTGCGCCTGATCACCCGAAACACCTGTTCCAGCACATGACCGTGCAAAGTCCGACAGCCATGCGCCCATGATCGATCCGTGTTAATCCATGAACCTAAGCTTTGAAACATGACTGATCGACCAGATCTCCGAAGCCTGATGGGAGATGGAAGGCAGCACCGGGCTCTTTTGCATTTCACTTCCCGGATCTATGACCGGATTCGAAGCTGCTGCAACTGCTATTTTTCCCGGTCCTCTGCAAGTGATCTTTGCAGCGTATGACTATGATGGCGCGAATGACGATGTCATCAACATTCTGAAGATGGCGCTGGAGATGAAGGTGGAGTTGAACATGCAGGTAAAGATGATGATGACGAAGATGTTGGTGCTGGTGATGGTGCAGATGATGATGGAGTGGTGATGATGCGCACCCGGCTTAATATGTGGGACGGTGGGAACAAGAGGAGAACGCGCAGATTAGAGTGCGCGGCGCGGGGGATCTAGAACCGCTAACTGATTTCTACCAATTGCCCCAGGTCCCCGATTCTGGGTGGGCTACTGGATTTTGCCCCGGTTGCCCGCTGACTGGCTAGAACCGCTGACTGACTTGCACCAGCTGCCCCACACTTGCCCCAGGCCAGCCACTGCCCATTCATGCAAGCGGGGCAAGTGTGCCTCTTGCCCCAGTTGCCCCAATTGGCTGGGCTGGGCTGGGCCATTTCTGTCACTGTTGCTAGTATTAGGAATAGAAATAGTGATAGCCATAGTCACAGTGATAGCAGTAGTGATAGAAACTGTAAATGGCATAACGATAGTGAGAGTGATAGCCATAGTAATGGCAACTATAACATGAATAGTTATCGCAAACGAAATAGTAATCGTCATCGTGTTAGCAATACAATAATAATCGTAATAGTAATGGGTTAAGGCAACAATAATAGTATTGGAAATAGTGTGGCTGATAGTAGTAGTAATAGGATAAGCAATGGTGATAGCAAAAGGAATAGTTGATACTAGTACTAGTACAAGTTAGTACTAGAAACTGCACTAGTAATTCATCGTTATCGTAATAGAACAAACGACACTCTCAGTCATAGTAACAGCAATAGTAATACTACGAGTCACAGACCTGTAACGAACTGTCATGGCAAGTCACACCAATAGACGCAATAGCAATAGTAACAGCCATAGAAATAGTAATAGTATTAGTAACAGTAGCGGTAACACTAATTGCAAGTAATGGGGCAAGTGGGGCAATTAACATTACTGGTTCCAGCCAGCGCAGGCAATGTAACATTATAATCACACCATGCTCAAATGCGCGAACCAGTCTGAATTAGAAGTTAACTCAATACTTCACACAACCTGCGTCAACAATCATCCTCTGACTATCACAATGTGTGGCTTCTAAATTCCGAATTCGCTGCATGTAAACTGTTGAAGCATTGTTTGACCTTGTTGTTAACGCTGTCATGCTAATTGCCGCAGCTCCGAAGGGTCATGCTCAGACATAGTCATGCATCTCCTAAGCTTCGGCTGCATGCTTTTTCGTGCAGGAGACAATTTGCTTTCGCGACCAGGAACCTTACCGCTTACACAGCAACTGGACTGACAGCCCGGCAGAGAACCTCTGGTAGATGCCACCAGGGAAGGAGAAGCCATGGCCACAAGAATGTCTTCATGAACAACCCGACATACTCCAGACACTCTCTCTTGAATTGAGTTGTGTCAATGCCGTTTATTGAGGGCTTCCATACATCCTCAGACGGTGAAAATGTAGCATGGCCGGATCACACACAGACATGCGACCCACTGCATGCAGTCGTGCTTTTCAGCCAGCTGTGCGACATTCAGGACAAGAGAGTGGCAATACGTCCATCGCAAGAACACATATCTTGCAGACATGCGGAGGGGTTGGTGCCATGCAACCTCAGACAGCTCTCAGACCTGTTGGGTCTTTACCGATGTGCGGCTCGTGCGCCCTGAAATCCCTGGACCCTCGTGAACATCTAGGTGCAGCAGTCCAGCAACGGCGCAGATGTGATCTCGCGTGATGCACTCGACGTGGATTTCTGCGGCTGGGAGTCTTGCTGGAACGGATATGCATACCTGTGGTTCATGCCTACTACCCTTCCAGCTCTTGTGTAGATAGTCTCGATTATCTTGCCCCGTGTTGCTTTATCCGCTGATGCTATTCTAGCTCCTTCTGAAAATCGTCTTCTGTTTTGATTCGCAGAATTCTCTTATGCCATCCCTTTCTTCAGACCGCAATGATGATAGGGATGCTGAGGATGATGGAAAGAGCCCTTCGAATAATGAAGCCGATGACAACCAATTTGACGGTGGTGTGCTGCTGCTGTTTCTGCTGATGATGTTGTTGTTGATGTTACTGTTAATGTTGATGTTGATGCTGATGTTGATGATGACGATGATGATGGCGATGTTGTTGATGATGATGATGGTGATGATGGCTATGCTAAACTGGAAGGGGCTGACAATGATAGGCAGAACTGCGGCAGAGCAATATAATGAAGAAACCGATGGGGATGGCAAGGATAAAGGCCGTGAAGATGATGATCATGGCGGCGACGACGATGATGATGCCATTGCCCAGGAGACAGCCTCAAACTGCACAACGGCATTTGTTGCACATTCCCTGAGAGGCATATCTAGAAACGGCATCCCACTCGGGCGACAAACCGAAAGCGAAACATGGGGCGGCACTACCGTGCGCTGTACGCGCATGCCTTGGGTTGCATACTTCGCTTTGAGCATCTGTTTCAAGGATCCACAGAAGTTTTCAGACAACTAGTCTGGTCCAGGTCGCGTTGTGTTCTCCAGTGGATGTATCCTAGTAGCAAGATCAGGTGATGGTGTGGGCTAGGTTTCTACGCCCCCTCGGCCCTTCGCCTGCAGCCTTCGAAGTGATCCCAGCACCTGTGCAAGGCAAGGGAGTTTGCAGCACAAGTGCTGGATTTTCTAGGCCAGTTTCGATAACGTGGCTGTGCTGACCGCTGGAAACTGGATCTTACAGCTTCTCGACATGGTATGTATTTAGATGTTGCAGGCGTCAGGGCGCAGGTGTTTCTCCAGGAGGTTCTGCTCGCTCGGAGTTTGAAGTGTCCCCGAGGAAAACTACACAGCTCGGGGCGACCCGACTTGCAGAGTCTTGCGAGTCGGCAACCCCGAAGGGCTCGAAAATGTGTCTGCAACACCTTGATTGGTTTTTGCATGTTTTCAGGAAACACCGGCATCTGCAATCGAAACAGGTTGCTGCATCAGTCAGGCAGTCCCAACCCCAACGCCAGACCTCCGACGAGAGATCCCGCATCTTCCTCTGAGCGGCCTTAGGACGTGGTGGGATCTGTGAAATGAAAAAATAAACTTAATATGCAGCAGTAGCAGCAGCAATAGCAGCAGCACTAGCAGTTGAATGGTACGTACTACACTGCTATCACGTACTTCCAGTACTACTAGCGCTATGTGTATTACGAGCACTACTGACTACCAGTATTACGAGTACTACTAGCGCTGCCAGTACTCCTGGTACTACTTTATTACAAGTACTTAGACGACAGCTAAAACTGCAACAGCAACAACAACGACTACTACCAGCAGTACTCCAACTACGACGATTACGACTACGACTACTGACTGCTACCACTACCACTACCACAACTATCACCACTACGACCACGACAACAACTACTACTACTTATACTACTACTGTGTGATCGTCGACCCACCACAGTGTGTGTGATGACCCTGCTACTGCTACTGCTACCGCACGACTCCTTTACATCTTGTCGTAGGTTGCAACCAGGTGCCAGAATCAGGTTCCGGCGCAGGTCGTTGTGCGAAGGTTGAGCGCAACTTCCGCGTAAGTGTCTTTAAAGTCGACATCTCAGATCTAGGTAAGGGGCATTGTATGTGTGAAGCCCTGAAACCCAGACGAAGCATGACGAAGCCATGCAGAAGCTCTTAGTTCATCTGGAAGACACCCTCGAGATCCTCCTTGCCATCGAGAAAATCTTAGGAAGCTTTGCAAAAGCCTTCAAGACGCCTTCGGGAAGCCATTGCTGAAGTTAGAGAAGCTCATATATTCATAAACATGCCTTACGAAACCTGTAAGAAACGTTTGAATAGCCTCTGCGGGTCTGTCAGAAGTTTCAAGAAACTTTTGAGAAGGGCCATCAAGCAGCCCCCGAAGACTTCTTCCGCATTTAGATCTAACAGCCTGCAAAGGTATGTAAATTTGCCTCCGCGACGGTTCCGCCATGGTGTTGCGAAAGTAGTTATTTTTACGCATGTCATTGTAGCATATGCGTCTTCCCCTGCTCTTGCACAAGGCGAGACGAACAGGCTAAACAGTGTAAACAGTGTGCAAACGTTTTGCCGAGTCCAGGCTGGTACTTCTCAAGACCCGTACAGCAGTTGCTGTTGGGTCGTTCCGGATGCCTGCAAGGCACGTGGTCTGTCCCGCATGCAGCTGCAGCATGAGGTAGTTTTAGCAGGATAAGCCACGGGAAGATTAAGGCCAGGCACTGGCGTTTGTGGTTGTCCCCAGAAAACTCGCCCTGGGCCGCAACGGCGAAATGCCCTTCTAGTTGGGTCACTAGAACGGATGACGACTATGCTGCCGTCGTCTTTGTTGTTGTTGTTGTTGTTCCTGCTGTTGCTGTTGCTGTGGTCGTGGTCTTCCTGATGGGTGTTTGTAAAATGCTAACACCTAGCTGAATGTTCGGAAAGGCTGCAACGAATGTGCGGAGGTTCCACAGCTGTAAATGCTGTGACCTGTATCGCCCGCAGATCACCTACATGACGGATGTGGAGGGCCACTGGTCTTATTTCTGTAACTTCGTGCTGCTGGCGTCCTTTCCCCTCGCTGCCTGGGTGACAGGTCGCAGCTGCATATGCGACACTGAGCATGGCAGGTGGAGCTGTCAGAGGGCCTCACATTTGCAGAAGATGGCGCAGAAGTCTCGGCCGTTGTGGGCATCGGAAAGCGTAACGGCGTAAAGTGTAGAAGAATCGACTCAGGATCAGCGTGATGCTCGACGTCCTCCGGAACTGATCCTGAAGGTGGACTTTGGCTTTGGCATTTAGGGGTTCCGCGATTGCGCTTGAACTGCCGTCTGCTCGTCCAGGACGGCTGGCACTTTGTCTTCGGTGGCGACACCTGTGACAAAGGCAGATGCTTTGGATTTTGAGCTAAAGGGGTTCCTTCATCTGCAAACTTTTTGCCAGGTCCCGGGTCCTTGAGGTGTCTTGCGACGCTGGTTTCGGCCAAGAAGCGGCTTGGATGACCTGAGCCGGGCAGCTGGGGTGCTTTTTGGGTACGTTGGGGACGTCGAAACTTTGGACCTGGCCTGGGTTTAGGGTTTAGGGTTTAGGGTTCCTGAGAGCTCGGTTGAAACCTGGCCCCCAACGTCCCCCGAAGCGATTCTCAGGCGCTATCCCGACAGAGTTCATCTGCTTCTCGGAAATCGGGATATAAACAAGATGCGCCGGGGCCTCAGCTCGAAGACTGGGCTTCCCTGGCGCCCAAGAAAAAAGCGGCTCCTTGTGAGGATACACCTCTGAGTTTACCGATGAAGAGGCCCGTGGCATGCTGGGATACGTCCTGGAGTCCTGGGTTCATAGCATGTGACTGTGGGCAGCTGGTGGAGCTGAGCAGCTGCAAGTTGATCAGGTGCGAAAAATCTCCTCTGATACGCCTGGTGCATACTGGGTTCCGGAAGACAAGAGGGTGAGGCCCGAACTAAGCAGTGCTTGCGGCACAAAGCGGCGCTGGTCTATCTCATGCTTCATCATGAGTCTTACCACCTTGGGCAGTCCATGGAGTTACTTCACCAGCCTCGCTGCTCATGCAGAAGGCCGTGGGCTCAGCAGTGCAGGGTGCGGCCTGAAGCCAAGTAGCAGCGAGTCTGAGGCAAGGACGTGGACCACCTGACATGTGAAGAAATACGGCACTTCTGCACCAAGTCCAACTTGATGAGGTGCACCTGTTTCTGGTGCTTTTCATGAGAAAGTGCTCAAGAGCTTTTCTGTTGCAGATATCATCTCAAGTACGACATGGGCTCTGACGGCGAGTTTGAATTTCGGCGTCAGGAGCTGGAGTTCTGCAATTTATAAGGCTGTACCTGGTTTTTTGAAGCAGACGGAGCTCTTCCAGGAGCTCGCGCACATGTCGGAGAGGAACTTGGCCGAAGTGTCTGATGAAGAAGTCGTCAAGAGCTACGAGGACAGCACTGCAACAGCTGGTCTTCTTTGTTGCTGATAAGAGTCACCGATGGTGGGTTCGCAGGGCAAGTGGGCGTCAGGCTTTGGGACAGTGCCTCCACTTTATTCACTGCACGTGGTTCAAGTCGTGCGACCCAAGTTGCAGCTTCATGAGAGGTGTCGGGGGGGAACGTCAATTTTGGTTTATTGACAGAGTGATTGCGATCACTGGACACGGCACGGGAGAAGGCGGTGCTAGATTTGACTTGTTCAACATGTGCGTGCAATCAAATCCTTGATGCGGGAGATATTTCTTTCCGGGTGAGACTGCCGCCATCTCAACGTGGCCCGTGTTGTCAAGTCCCGTATAGCACACTGTCTCTGCATTGCACCTGTGACATGGAGGACAGTGTCGCACAGGACGGAGTCATGCGTCCAGGGCCCAGTAAGCCAGAGCTATCACAGGAAATATCGTGGTGCAAGGGGGCCTGCTTTTGATGAAAAGCATGGTTATCATTTTGTTTCCCGTTGTTTTTGGCTTCCTTCATCTTTTATGTTGCGATCCGCTTTGCGTTTTACGACGTTTGTGCCTTACATTGTTCGCTTTTGCTTACTGGTTGTGTTTTCTCACCGAATTCTCCTGCTTTCTGCCGTTTTCCTGCTTACCGCTTTTGCTTTCTGCTTGGTGCTGCCAGCAACATGGAAAAACACCTTTGCCTGCAAACACTCCTTTTGTTTCCGTCAGCCGTGCGGCTTTGGGTTTAGGGTTTAGGACCTTAAGCTCTAAACCCTACACCGCCTACACCCTTCAAGTTTTTGGTGCTCGAGCTCTAGCCTCCAAGACAGAGAGTGTCATCCCGCTTTGTAGAACCATGGAGTACAAGCTGGCAGTGGAT